AAGGGGGAGAGATGTGTGGAGAGGAGGAGGGGGAGGAGGAGCAGGAGGAGGAAGAGGAGGGAGAGGAGGAGGACTGTAGGGTCCTTGGTGCTCTCTGAGCTTGGTGGTTTTCTTGCAGACGTTTCATGACCCAACTAGGGAATATCATCAAGGCTAGAAGGGAGAGGGATTTTTGTTGAGGAGGAGAGGGGAGGAGGAAGAGGAGGAGGATGATAGGGAGGAGCAAGTAGAGGAGCAGGAAGAGGAGGACGATGATGACTATGGGGCCTCTCTGAGCTTGGTACTTTTCTTGCAGACATTTCATTACCCAAGCTAGGTAATATTACTGCTAGTTGTTAGTCTACTAGCTAGCTAGCGGACCTCTAGACTAGCTACTAGCACTGATGCTGCTGCCTAGTTTGGTTAAGAAAATGTCTGCAAGAAAACCACCAAGCTCAGAGAACCCCCAAGGGCCCCTTCATTTCTTCTGACTGCGTGAGAGAAGAGCGAGGTGGACTTCATTGGATTCTCTTCTCTCTCTTTTTTTGGTTTCCAGAATGGGGAGAAGATTTTGCCCAAGGAAGAAATTGAGTGTCCTCTGGGGTGGAAGTGGGAAGATGTGGAGTGGGACATCGATCTCAATCGGGCGGTAGATGAGAAAGGTACGGTATTTGCTTTCTTTTGGGGATGGATGGAAAAACAGTTGGGCCGAGAAAACGTTCCTTGCCAAGTTTTCCTTGTCTCCGGAGCAGTGGTGGTGTGCTACCGGTTTGAACCAGTACTTAAAAAAAAACACCCTCCAATGATCAGCTGAGAGAAGAAATAAGAGAACAGCGCTGTGATGACCCAGGGTGGGATACAAAACAAACACAGTCACAGAAAACAGGTGTTTGCCCCTTTTATTCCTTCACTTTGCTTCCAAGCTCCAAATATCCTTGACTGGAGACAAAAAACTCCCACACAAAAACAGTTACAAGAAGGAGGAAAAAAGCAACCCAAACCAGGCAAGAGAAGGGCCGGAGGACGTCCATGCCAAACTCAGAGAGGAACCATAAACTAGAGATATTTCCATGCTTTGTTTCCAGCGTTCGCCCGTATGCATGTCCGTCCTCTTATTCAGTTGCCACAGCTGCAGCCCATGAAGAGGATCAAGGCCCTCTCCTGCGCGGTAGATCACATCTCTCCCTTATCCTCTCCTCCCTGCGTGCCCTAGGATGCAGAGGGGATGGGCCTGGGTCCTCCTCTGACTGCTCAGCCGGCCTCTGCCCTTCCCCAGCCTCCTCCACAACCTCCAGAGCCACATTTCCACTCCCTGTCAGCTGTTCCTCCTCTCCCTCAGAGTCAGTCTGCACCAGGGGCATGACAAGCGCAGGATCGGCCCTCCTGCCCACCCCTGTGCTTTTATCTTCTTCATCCTCTCAGCTGATTGGCACTGCAGGCCTCAGCTGGTGTGGGGAAAGCTGCACATGTGCGTTAGATGTAAACATGCGCGTGCGATCACCGAACCGCTAATGGAACAGGTAGCATTCCACTACTGCTCCGGTTGACTCCGATGTTGCTCAGCAGATAGAACATCTTTGACTGTAAGTTTTTAAAGAAACCATTATTTTTAATAAAAACAACAACAACAGCCAACACATAGAGAATAGACAATAATGGAATGAGAACTCAAAGGCTCTGGGGGATTTTGACCAGACCCACAAACTTGTCTGGACAAATACATTCTCAAATGAGATGGCAAGGAATCTCCTGAGTGACATTCCTTCGTATTATTTCCTTCTCTCTCTCTCTTTTTGAACTAGTTATAGTATAATGGGCTGCAGCAGGATTTATTACTAAAACTAGAGGGAAGGACGCTTTTGGGCTACCGAGCCAATTGCTGTTTGGCATTAAAAACCGGTCGGCATGGACTATTCAGAGTTTTGCAGTATTAATTCAGTGCCAGAAAAATAAACACAGGTGGCTGATGCTTTGTTTAACATCTTTATAAACATAATAAGTAGATTTTACAAACCAGTTGTAGATTTCTCCAACATAGAGCAAACTCAGACAGAAGTAGACATGTTGCAAGTTCAGAGGTTCAGCAGCAACTCAGGAGCCCAGAAAAACAGACATCAGTTTCACTTTAGCTCAGCAAGCAAGCAGAGGAGAGGAGGAGTTTCATTTTTTAACGGACAGACTCAGAGTTCAACATAGCTTCAGAGCTGCAGAGCTTAATGTAGAGCCACACCTAGACTACTTCTAGTTTCAGTTTCCAAAACAGTCCTCATTGGCTGACTTAGTTGCTATGCATATTCATTGGCTGAACTTGTTACCAAGCTCTATTCCAGTTCATTAATATATTCTGACATGGATTTTCTTCTTTGGTGCGTCCATCAAGGTTCCAAGATCTGGAAAATTGGGCTGAGGTCTCAGCTGTCAGGGTTCCGGCGATTGCCCTAATTAAACCATGATCCACAAGCCAAGCTTCAAAAAAATTCAAAAGATTTATTAGGAGCAACATGCAGACATGAACCTAAATGAAGCCAACTCTGGCATATGTAATTTACAGTCACCTGTGACCCTGTTTCCCCGCTCCTCCCTGGGTGTATCATAAATCATATTCTCCAATGAAGCACGTTCACGGGCTGGGTGTCATTAATTACATAATTCTACAGAGAAATTATTGAGCCTGTCATCTGCACCTCTATAACTGTCTGGTTTGGTTCTGCAACCCAACAGGACAGACACAAACTTCAGAGAGTAATTAGGACTGCAGAAAAAACAATTACTCGCAACCTGCCTTCCATGGAGGATCTGTATACTGTACGAGTCAAAAAGAGGGCTGTGAAAATATCTACAGACCCCTCACATCCTGGACATAAACTGTTTCAACTCCCACCCTCAGAATGATGCTATAGGACACTGCACACCAAAACAACTAGACACAAGGACAGTTTTTTCCCCAAATGCCATCACTCTGCTAAACAAATAATTCCCTCAACACTGTCCAACTATTTACAAAGTCTGCACTACTATTACTATTAATCTTCTCATCACTCCTTGTCACCCCTCCCCTCCCACTTGTGACTGTATGACTGTAACCTTGTTGCTTGTATCCTTACAATTTATATTGACTGCTTCCTAGTATAATTTGATTCCTTATTGTACCCTATGACTATTAAGTGTGGTGCCTGATGATTCTTGACTCTTGACGAATGTATCTTTTCTTTTATGTACACTGAGAGTATTTGCACCAAGACAAATTTCTTGTGTGTCCAATCACACTTGGCCAATAAAGAATTCTATTCTATTCTATCACACTCTCCAATGAAGGATTTTCGAGGGCGGAGGATCCGGTAGCCTTGCTACAATCTTTGTAAGATAAGCATGGAATGTACTCCTGGTTTTAAACTGCTGTAATGCTCCTTCAGATTCCACCCCCCCAGCCCTTGTTTATGGCAACTCAAAAACTGAGTTGATATTCACATCCCATCAGGGTCTGAATTACAGGGTCTCGGTCCTCTGAAGCAGCTGTAGATGTGCAGGACTTCCAATTTCAGAATTCCTCCGCCCTATCCGTAGAAAGGAGTAGAAGCTCAACACGGGTTTCCCCTGGCTTAAATGCAAAAGGAGAACCCTTCCGTTTAACATCCGAAGCTTTTCTGTCTCCTCTCCAAGGCTGGGAATACGGCATCACCATCCCTCCAGACCACAAACCGAAGTCTTGGGTGCCGGCAGAGAAGATGTATCACACTAACCGGCGTAGGCGTTGGGTGAGGCTCCGCAGAAGAGACCTGGCTCAAATGGAAGCATTGAAAAAGGTAGGCACCAGGTGGGCACAAAGGCACACCAAGGCAACGCTGACAAGAGCCACGTCCCGTGCAATCTACATGGAATCATAGAGAGGGAAGGGACCTTGGAGGTCTTCCGGTCCAACCCCTGGCTTAATCAGGAGACTCTCTAGGCAAATGGCTGTCCAATCTCTTCTTCAAAGCCTCCAGTGACGAAGCACCCACAACCTCTGGAGTCATTCTACGAATTAATTGTCCTCACCGAAATTCCTCCTTAGTTCCAGGTTGTTTCTGTCCTTGATTAGTTTCCACCCGTTGCTTCTTGTCCTGCCTTCTGGCACTTTGCAGAGTAAGTTGACCCCCCTCTTCTTTGTAGCAGCCCCACAAATATTGGAAGAGTGCAATATCTAGTGGCAAACCTTTCCACCAATTCATTATTTTCAATAATTGTGAGATGTGCTAAATCTATGATTGGACTGTAGTCAACACACATGGACTATACGAATGGAGGGAAGTTGCGAACAATGCTTCTCTCTCTTCCTTCCTCTCCCTCTCTCTCCCCCTCTCCTCCCTCTCCCTCCCCCCTCTCTCTCCTCCTCCCTCCCCCTCTCCCTCTCTCCCTCCCCCTCCCTCCCCTCTCCCTCTCCCCTTTCCCTCCTTCTCTCCCTCCCCTTTCCCTTTCCCTCCTTCTCTCCCTCCCCTTTCCCTCTCCCTCCTTCTCTTCCTCGCCTTTCTCTCTCCCTCCCTTTCCCCCTCCCCCCTCCCCCCCTCCCCCCCCCTCCCCCCCCCTCCCCCTATCTCTATCTCTATCTCTATCTCGTATCTTATTTCTAGAATGAGCTCGGAAGGAGTTCTGAATTTTCTAAATTATCTGCATGAGGATTTACCATTTCTGGCCCATCCCCGTTGAGATATTTTGCTTTCTTGTTTCCTTGACAAAAAAAAAGGCTTTGGGGTTGTTTGCTTTTGGTTTAGTTCTTTCCCGTCTGGGTCACTCGTGTGAGGGAGGACACATCGGTCAGCTTGTCCTCCAAAGTTGTGTCTCCCTCAGAAACGTTTGGGTTCTTCTCCTGACCACTTTGATGACTTTTCTCGTTATCGTCCTGCCACACTGAATTTTTGTGTGGGTTCAACTCTCGTGGTGTGACAGCCCTTTCCTGTCGGAGCGCCCTCAAAGGTGAACACTTGGCTTTAGAGTATGTTGTTAGTTGCAAAGTCGTGTCGACCCATCGCGACCCCACGGACAACGTTCCTCCGGGCCTCCCTGTCCTCTACCATCCTCCAGAGTCCATTTAAGCTCAGGCTGACCGCTTCAGGGACTCCCTCCAGCCACCTCCTTCTCGGCTGTCCCCTTCTTCTTCTATTGCCCTCGATCGTTCCCAGCATTCGGCTCTTCTCCAGTGAGTCCTTCCTTTCTCCTGAGGTGGCCAAAGTCTCTGAGTTTCCTCTTCAGGATCTGGCCTTCTAAAGAGCAGCCAGGGTTGATCTCCTCTAGGACTGACCGTTTGGATCGTCTTGCAGCCCAAGGGACTCGCAGGAGTCTTCCCCAGCACCAGAGTTCAAAGGCCTCCATTCTTTGGCGCTCAGCCTTCCTTAGGGTCCAACTTTCACAGCTATGAATTGCAACTGGGAAAACCATAGCTTTGATTAATGTTTTTATAACACCAGAGCTGGAAGTTTTCTTCTGTTGAGAATGATGCCAACGACACCAGATTAAAGTAAAAAAGATTAAAACTCCACTTTTTAAACAGAGGGAAACCATGGGTAGGCTTCTGGCTTTGCAAGGTTCCAAATGTTCAATAAATCTTTTGAAGAGAATTCAATTTTTAGTGTGTGTGCGCACACAATTATGCCACACAACCCTTTTTAGAGGTAAAGCCACATTCCTGCACAATTGTGTAGCTATGGGGATGGAGAGAAAAAATCTCCCTGGAGTCAAAAATGGCACAGACACACCATAGTGGATTTTTTTTTTTTTTTAAAAAAGGGAATTTGGAGCTTTCTGTTTTTTTCTCAATTGTAGCATTCTGCTTGTGGTTGTGTGTTCTTACTGTAAAGTTGCAAAGCACACACAATATCTTTGGGTGTTGTTCCATGGTTATAACACTCTGCATTGTTTCTGGGGCTTGATTGTCTTGGAAAAAGAATCAAAGGAACACAGAGCTGTGGGCTCCTTGGTGCTCTCTGAGCCGAGTTGTTTTCTTACAGACATTTTCGTTACATTCATAGGTAACAGCATCAGGGCTAGAAGGAGGGGAGGAGGAGGAGGAGGAATAGAAATGTGGGGTCACTGGTGATCTCTGAACTTGATTCTTTCTTGCAGATATTTTATTACCTGACTAAGTAACATCATC